GCGTACGCGTTCTTATTGATTTATTCAGGCGCAAGAGCAACGCCACAGCCGCACGTGTCCTTGCAGCGCGCGAGAACGCGAGAACACGTAGAGAACGCTCGCGATTTCAGAAAAAGAGTTGAAATAAAAACCACTCTCGCTCGTTGATGGCACCGTAAGGGAATAACGACGTCCCCGTTGTAGGCCGCGTTGCATCACCGGCGACGTGGCCGACGGCCCGGAAACTGGTACCTCGAAATCGTGATTTCCGAGATTACAGTGTGTCGTAAAGGGGCCGTGAGCGCGCGGGGAATGACGGCCCCTACCGGGGTGGTAGCTCCAACAAGGAAGAAGGTCGCTTTTTGAAGTCTAAACGTTTTCGCGCGGATGAAGCTCAATGTTGCGTCGATATATTGAGAAAGAGGTGTGTTCGATATTATATATGATACTATAACTATCGATGCAAGTCGAAGGAAAATAACAGTTGGAGAAACCATTTTTGCAGTGAGCTCTGCTATAATGTTGATAATAACGTTATATGCATATTGCTATTTCTTTTTTGTTGAAATTACAGTTAGGTCTAATGGGATTACACGGAGAAAATATAACAGACACGATGTTGAAATTACATTCCTTTTTACAATGTTTTTTGTAAAGTTAAACTACATCGAAATTGCGGTATAACATCATTATAGAAATAAATTTGACGATCTATACGATAAATTTGACGATGGAATACGATATTAAAGAACGTTCAATTGGAATAATTTTGCAGTAAAAGGTAAAACGTGCGTAACACTTTTAAGCAAATACAAGCAATTTCGGTCATAATTCTGTATGAACAAAAAATTTTACAAAAAAAATTATTAAAAAGAAATTGCAATAAAAATTTTTTTGTAATTTTCGCTAATGAACAGTAAGAACAATAAGAACATTAATAAACAATAAAAACATAAATAAACAATAAGAAAATACGATTAACGCTGAAGATCATTGTAATTTGCAGTGAGACTTCCAGTCTCTTTCTCTCAGTGTATATATCGAATTGTATTAAAAAAATTAGTCTAATATGGCTCTCAGATATGCAATCAACAAATTGCGTGAAGAAAAAAACATGTAAGAGCCAAAGCACAGGTCCAATAGTGCGATTGTGTTTATTACAAAGAAAAAATTCAAATTGAAAAACATACGTTTCGATGTTTCTCTTTTTTTGTAACACTGAGGAGGACATAAATTAGATCGAAACGTATGTTTTTCAGTTTGAATTTTTTCTCTGTAGTAAATCGCACTATTGGACCTGTGCTTTGGCTCTTATCCGCCTTTCTCTTCACATAATTTATTGATTATATTGAATTGTTTATGTTAGGTTTTACGGCCGTTTGTGAGACGCTCGCTTCGATGATCACTATTCGTTCTCTCGAGACAGTTTCTATTTCAACTTCTCCGTCTTTTTCAGCGAAACAACGCGTCGGCGTACTTTTTTAAGCTCCTTGAAGGCGGCTTCATTTTTCCCATTGTCGGCATGAAAAAGTAGAATCACGCTCTCCGGCCGTGAGGGTGGTGATTCGTTCTCGGTGGTGCTGCGCGTTATTGCGAACGCGATATCGCATGAAATGCGCGGGTAGATGCGAACGACGCGTTCTAGAAAGGAGAAAGATCTCTCGTCCGCGCATGCCCCGCTGCACGCGTATGATCGAGTAGAATGATATAAACCGGCATCGTGTGCACGCACACATATCGCGGAAAGTAGAGCGAAAGAAATGTTACATGTTCGCATGTGCGGAACGTTTTCCTTCCTCTTTCTCTCGGCCTTCCGTTTCCTCCTCTTTTGTTTCGATTTTCGTTTACACGTCTATTTTATGGGCCGATGTTCTCGCGCGATCGGTTCAGTTCTCACCGAGCGAGACCGACAAGACGATTAAGCGCGCTAACATAAGTCTCTTACGGTCGTTTCCTTTGCATCATCATGACTTGCCCGGATGGTTTTCGCTTTTTACCGGTGCGATCCGTTTGCGTCTCGTTGGACGGCCGATTTAACGATTAGCGACTGGGAAGAGGTCCGCCAGTCCGCATTTCGGAAGTCCAGCGCGATCGAGCACCTCGTCGCCTTATGCTGGTACGTGATTTCAGTTCCGCGTTTTAGCAGCAGCTTGTCGTACACGGGAAAAAGAAATTTCAGTTGGGGCAACTGAATGTGGGCCAGACGAAAAATTTGTTGGCGAGATATAATCTCTTTGTGGTTGAAAGTATTCGTCCGAATATTCGGCTGCACTAACCTTCTAGCTACTATACGCAACTAAAGTGGCTTCCCTGTAAGTCATTCTGTGGGACGAAGTGCAACTAAAGTGGCTTCCCTGTAAGTTATTCTGTGGGACAAAGCGCCACTAAAGTGGCTTCCCTGTAAGTCATTCTATGAGACGAAGCGCCACTAAAGTGGCTTTCCGCTAAATCATTTCTTAGTATTTTCCAAGTCATCATCTCACTTGTTTTCGTGGTTTTAAAAGTTGCGTGCATTTTCGTTTACGTGCACACCGCGACAGAGAAGTTTGTACTGGCGATACGGTCAGCTTCGCCGTAGCTAGAGGGTTAAAGTTTGATCTTGTTCTTTGCTTCCTATTTCTTTCCCTTTATCTCCTTCTGACTTAAATCTTGAGTCAGAAAAAGGTAGAGAAACAGGAAGCAAAGGACACATTGTATATTAAGCTTAAAACTCGGTCGAGATAACTGCGAGCAATTGACTGAGAAGAAACCTCATGCAGGAATCTTCCTGTTCCTACAATCGAGCTTTTCGTCTGATCCCCAGATAACAGAAGATTCAGTTGTACTAATGGAGTAGCTTTTTCCATGTAGCTAGTCGCGTATTCGTCGAGACTTACGATCACGCCGCCTGCTTAGACAATCTTCCGGATCTCTCGGATCCTCTCACGCCACTGTTTGTTATAGGAATGATAATTCCCGTTGAAGAGCACGAGTTTGTTTCACGCTTTCTTACAATGTCAAACAGCTGCGCTCGCGTGTGTGCATAGAATTAATTGCGCTTGTTCGTTCCTAAGCAAGGCCTGTACTATCTAAGAGAGTGTTTAGATATTAGGCAACCAAGCAACCCCAGTAGTGCAACCTTTTTTAATACGTCGACGGGGCGACCGTTTGCGAACAGGTTCTCACGTTTCAGACGACGAGATCCGTCAGGCCGAGGAGAAGTTCGAGGAAAGTCTCCATCTCGCGCAAATGGGCATGTTTAATTTGCTGGAGAACGACGTAAGTCATCGTCCTCGTCGGCAATACACTCCTCCGCAACGTCGTGACGAGATCGGGATTCTTACATTATGTTGCCCCGTTACAGGTTGAACAAGTGGCGCAGCTGGCGACCTTCAGCGAGGCTCTCCTCGAGTATCATCAACAGTGCACCGACGTTCTCAGGGTGTTGACGGAGACGCTTTTAGAAAAGTACGCTCGCGATTGCTGTTGAACTTTAGAGTAGAGATCCACGTCTCAGAGTGTCACGCGAATTTTCCTGCACAGACCGCGATCGAGTCAGATCAACAATCTGGACGCAGGAAGTTGAAGTTACTAGAATTCCATCCGAGTTAACGAGAAATCTTGTCAACTTGAACAGAATTCTGGAGACTTCGACCGAAATTTCTGGTTCGTTCATATTTCACCGGATATTTAGTTCAACCAACTAGTTTTTTTTTTTCGTGAATGAGAGATCGAGAGAACAGGGAAATTTTTCTGAAAGAATCAGGGTGGTTAGTTCGTTGTACACAAGTCCGAAATTTAGTTCGTCTGACGCTACTCGAGCCGTTCCAATATTGATCTGTTTTCATAATGGATAAATCTCGCTCTCCAGGAAAGAGGAGGCGCTGAACAGACCGAAGTTGGAGTTCGTGCCGAAGACTCTCGCGGACCTGCACGTGGAAGGATTGTCGACGTCGGACCACATGAACGGTGGGAACTTCTCACTTCACGGTAAAACGAATTTCACAAATACCCGCCACAACGCGACGACACTCGGGTGGTCTGGCTGTCTAACTGCTTCCCCGTCCTCGTAACTATGTCATGCCGGCGTTTTTATGTGTCCTTCTTACGTGATATCAGTACAGTACTGACCGATATTGCATTCTTCCTGTTTCACCCTGTTATGGAGAGTCTCCCGACAGAAACTGCCTAACGCCGTCGTCGGTCGAATCCTCTCTGTGTCTCTCGTTCTTCCTCTCTCTTTTTCTTTCGCACGTACTGACTGTACTAACTGTACTGTATAATCGTCAAAGCCGAACAGTGCGACCCATTCAACTTCACGTCTCCGAGATGTCTCGTGTTCTTCTGTTCCCGGATCGGATACATTCGTGCTAGATGGACTTCCACACGCCGAACGGTGCGAGTGAAGTTGGCGAGGTGTAAACTTAACCAGATGTAATTCAAAGTTGTCGTATATTCCAACGATTAGTCGAGATGCAGCACCACGTAAATGTTGGTTTATTTCGAGAATTAATGAAGCATCGTTGTTCGATCGATCTTCCCGCAAAAACAAACTTTACGTACTCGCTCGTGGTGTACACGTGGTGTACGTTCATTTGTCACGCTGTCAATTAAGCGTCGGTGCAACGGACATTGAGTCCTTTAAGGTTCGACCCTCGCGACTTCAGGTGTATAACGCATACCTCCCACACCCACATCCACACCCACATCCACACCCACATACACACCCACATACTATCACACTATTCTCCCTCCGATTGTGCTGTGTGTATAATATGGCATACCTGTCTGTCCTTTTGACACAATGTAGGGTCAAGTCGAGCTGGCTCTCCGGTTCATGCGGACGGGAAGCGCTCGCAGCTCGAGCTATTTCCGGCCGGAAACCCGCCACAATCTACCAATGGTAAACTTTGCATGGGGGTTTCCTTCTCTGTCCGTCGTGCGACGGGACAAACGCGATTCCTTTCCGAGCGTGTCGCAGACGGGCGGTTGCACCAACGTCTACGCCCAACCGTAATTAACCTAAAGTTTCGTGGTGGTTTCTGGTTTCGCGCGAACAACCATAAATCATACGTCGGGTTTACTGTCGGTATCGGCGATCGGGTTGACCCATGTTGGTGCGATCGATCCCGCATATTTCCTTTTTCTTTCAATGGGGTTATTCACCGCTTTCCCACCCCTCTCGTAACGATGCTGATGGCATGATCACCGTGCACGTTCGTTAGATAGTAGCCTGCCACCCCGTGCCGTAGAACAAAGTTGTGTTAAGTAACTTTTAAGTGACCTCTCGAACGGTCTCTTTGCAACGAGAAGGATGTCTCGGCGACTGCTTAGAATGTAGCTGCGAAATTTTAATAATTTATCCAATTTATACTTTGGTTTTTATCAGTAAATAGCGTGTACACTGTAAGGGAAAAGATATCTAAAAAATAAAAAAATATTTACTCGTGTGGTGTAGATATTAATAACATATTTACTTACTTCTTTAAATTCTTTTATTTACGTAGAATAGACAATTACTCTTGTGAAAAATCAAAGTTTTATGAAAATGTACATTTTCTTTTACTTGAAAAATATTTTAATCCAATAAAATTATTCTATAAAAATATTTTAAGAAAATATTTTAGAGAAAGGAGCAAAATATTTTTTTGTGAAGAAGATATTTTTAATTTAACTCACCGAATATTTTTTTATTTCTTATATATTTTTTCTTAGTGTACGAAATAGTGTATCTGTATAATCTGCAAAAAATGTAAACTCTTTGCATCATAATTTTTTATCTGACTAATGTGAGAAGTAGTAAACATTTTTATAGAGTTATATTTTTTATTTATTATTACTGCAGTTTTTATGCTAATAGTATTTTTCAAAGTTTGATGAATTATTTACTTCTCGTTGCAAAGGCTTCAATTAGCTCACGCAGCTTCTGTCGATGATTACACATATCGGTTTCGATAGGAAAACTTTACTTTCGTTAATTCGAGCATTTCGAATGCTATTATTTTGTTTTCGCATCAAGACAGAGACCGGCAGCTTGTCGCGCTTCGCCAGCGCGCGCGACGATTGCGTTCACACGAGTCAGACGGGGTGTTTTAAATGTTGTTGTAGTTGAAACACGATATGCGACGCAGTCGTAGGCAGCGACGTGTCTCTTTTTTTTGATCGAGCGTGGCTTTTAGTAGTTTAGCATTCGGTGCTGACTATTTTCAGCTTCACCCTTGCCCTCACCGAGCAAATCGCCAGCGAGGACGCCGATTTCAAGAACGCCGTGCTGCACAGCTCTTTACGACTTTGAGCCCGAAAATCCCGGTGAACTTGGATTCAAGGTAAACTCTAAGTTGTATTACGTGTAATCGTTTCCAGAAACGTCTGGACAATGTCAAAGTGTTGTCAAAAGCGCTATCCAGAAGACGTCTCAACATCGGGACGAAGGACTCAATCTGTTCTCGTTGCATAGAGTTTCAATTACACTCAACTCTCTTCTGGACATTTTGCAGACGTCTCTTTTGGGAAAGGGGGTTTTCGCGTCGCTCGAAAGCGACTGACAATATCGCCGATCACTCAACGATTGCATTTTTTTTTTCGCGTTCCAGGAGAACGACACGATCACCTTGACCCAGAAGCTCGACGAGAATTGGTTCGAGGGCAGCCTGGACGGCCGCACGGGCTATTTCCCCGTGTCCTACGTGCAGGTCGTAGTGCCATTACCCTAAAACGACGCCGCGCATCTCGAAGCCAAAGACCCAGCATTCGTTCACTAGCGTCTACCACGGGATTATTCTACTCTTCAGCTAGCCTAAAACACCCGAAACTACTCCCTATCGACGACTCTATCTACCTACTTATCACTTGCGTTACAGCCCTCCGCAGTGTACCTACGATGAATACCCTTCGAAAAATACCCCCGACCCCGAGAATAGCCTCTATTACGCATGTTAATGTACATATATAATGTTATAGTGTCTTTTATCGACGTAAGGACCTTCGCGCGCGCAGACACACACGAATGCATACCCAGGAAATATGTGCATAGATACATATAGACGTATTATACGTATGCAAACACAATATACAGACACGTGTATCATCACACTGACAAGACACACACACGCTCAGAGAAAAACATGATAATGGTAATTGTATATAGATGACAATTTAATACGAGTTTAGTATGTAGAGTTAATTTAATAAACTATTTTCCTCAGTTGTTGCAACTAAAGTTGCAGTTGCAATAACCTTGAGATGATTCATCCAACTGTATACATTAATTCTACGTAAAAAACCCATAGTTGTTGCAACTAAAGTTTTAGTTGCAAAAACTATAAAATAGAGTTGTCACTTATGCACTTGCCATCGCCATGTCTTTTTGTCTGAGTGCAGATGCAGACACACGCACGCACGCACACGCATCTATACAAGTACACGTAAACACGTTAAAGTACCTATGATAGCAGTTCACTGTCAAGGGCGGCTCTCTTTTCATCTTCTTTCATTTTACGTTATCGCGTTTCGTCATATTCAGATGTATACTTTCGGAAATATTTTCACCGCAGTTCGAGTGCACAAAAGAAAAGGGAAGATAAGCAGCAAGAGAAAGAAGAGGTGCGAATCAAATCGAGCATATGCATGAATCGATTGATTATGGCAGAGCGCGTTATATTTCTCCGATGTAGTTCCCTCTCTGAGATCCAATTCGCTAATCACGCTCAACGTGAGCGTCGTTTGTCTCGTCCTCCCTCGTAAGGAGCCGGAAGTCCGGCTTGTTTGTTTCCTATTCTTGCGAACTGTACTTCATCCGGGGAATAAACATCGCGCGCGATCGTCATGCGCGACGATTTATTCGGATGGGGTGAGATTGTTCCAGCATACTTGATTTTCTCACTAAACGCTAAATGAAAGACATTTTAGACGTTAGTCGATCGCGTTGTCGCGCCGTCCACTGGCGTTTTACAACCCTAGTGAAATTTTCTTCTTCTGCTTGTACGATAGATGATAATGATTAAACAAACAAAGAGAGAGAGAATTACAAATTGCTAATCGATGCTATTTAATCCACTTTTAATGCAACGTCGTGATTTAACTCCCTTAAGAAGACGATTATACCGAACTTACGATATAAAGGGTGAAGAAATTGACGTCACTCACATCGAGAATACATACACACGCACACACACGTACAAATATACACACATACACACACATTGTTGCGTGTTAAATGAATTCCGAGACTTTTCCTTTGATCGGTGCAACCTTTTATTGTCGCATGACCGAACGTTAATGTCGCTGGAGCAATCTTATCGAGTCCCGCGCTCGCTTCCCTTCTGCGCGCGACGCGGAGGGGAAAACCCTTCTGGCCGCTACAGATCATACAGGTTCCTTCATGGCTCGTTTGTCGTATAATCGTGTTATAAAAGCGCACGGCTTTCTTCGCGACACGGTTCGATCATATCCAATTCGCGGTACACACATGTTCTTGCGTTGGTCCGCGCGGCGCAACAAAACTCGTTACTCGTGCAATGTATTCGTATGATAATGTTATAGCGACTCGTTTCCATTCCTCAGTCGATTGACCGCTCATTCGACCGCGTATTTCCTTCCTTCCTTCCTACCTTCCTTCGTTCTCCGGTTCTCTCCCTCTTCGTTTCGTTTTCAATTGCTAGACGACACTAGCTAGAAATTAGGGTTTACTTTAAGCGAAATGGCGGCGAATCTCTTCCACGAAGTCATTCTCAATTTACCAGTGATTATTGTAGATAATCCCCGGCATTGTTTTCACGACGACGATGATCTCGATTTATTTGTTGTCGGAAAAATTCCGGAACGATAAATGGCGACGTACGCTCGGTTTGGACTAGTGTTGGGCACGTTATGATCGATTGAAATGTAGTCAGCTGACTAGAATAGTTTTAATCATTAAAATTAATCAGTCGTTATGTATAAAGTCACAAACAATTTAATCGGTTGATGCAATTATTAATCAAACCTTCATCAGATTGATTATGCATTAATTAATAATTATAATTTCATCAGTTGATTTTGCTGTTTGCAATTAATAATATTATATATATGACTGATTCATTCCGATTTCTGATTATTCGCTGTTTATTTGAGTCAAAGAAAATTTTAATCGAGATTAATGCGCACAACGTTGATTTTAATACGGTTTGTGGACACTTTCAATTTCGATGCAGTTTGAAACGCAATCGATGGAACGGATAACTTTGTAAGAGAACTCAACTTCTGAGAGTTGTTGAGTTTGACGCGTTCCTAACTTCATCGGTGAAACGTGTCGCGAGCCGTTGTGCAAACGAGTGTACAGGGTGTTAAAAGAAGGATACGCTTCTTTGGAAGCAAGGAGCATTTAATGAACGTAAAAAATGGGGACCGAAGTTGGAGACAGTTTTTTATTTTGACAGCGAAAGCGATTCGCTACCTATTCAATTCAGGGATGGCGATCAAAACATAGAATTATCTGATAAATTCCTATAAAAATGCAACTGATTCGTTGTTCCGACTGCAGACAAGCAGATCAATGATAGAAACACGTATGACCATGCTAATAATGTCATGAATACTTGGTATAACGATGAAAATTAGCGAACATAAAATAATTTCATGCTTACATGCCGTCTAATTTGAATGGGAATGAGCGAGCCGCGAGCTTCCACTATGAAAGTAGAGAAACTCGTTTCTGAAGCAAGTTCCACTTCCGAAAAGGTTCATTTCTCAACCTGTTTACTAGGCTCTTTTCTGCTCAATTCAGCAAATATGATCCGAAGTCGCGTACCTTCTGTTCAAAGCACCAAATATATATATATGCATAATTATGGAATTAAAATTAGCGTCTTTATGTGCGGAAAGTTATAGCGATTTGTAGAAAACAAGTGATAATTTATTTCTTTGATATTGCATTAGAAATTGTATTGTGAACGAGGCCACATACGAGGAATTGCTCCGTGAGAAAGAGGAAGCGCAATCCTCGCAGTTTGTCGAATTTTCGGAGAAACGAGCGAAATTTTTCCGACACCTTAGCGCGCTTGTCGCGTAGCAGTTTGCCACATCGATCTTTATTCTCTTTTTTACGATTTTTAAAAATTATTTATTCCGAGTGCAAAGGTCGTCTCCATTTTTTACCATGTGCGCGTGACGAATGTATAACCGCGAACGCAGGCGCAATAATTTCGATTAGTATTATTAGCCCATCGGCATAATAGTGGCGCAAGCAAGAGAGTAACACGAGAATGAGAAAAACAACAGACTTCCTATTCGAATCAGCACCACACGGTAGCGTTCATACGTTAAGCGTAGAGTCTATAACGTAGACCCGACGGATGTAATTACTACTTTCGCAGCACCGGCGATCAGTTTCGAACCCGCTCCCCTTCTGTGACTTTGTACGAGAGTTCAACCGCCAGAACAATGAAAGTAATTAAGGAACTTGATTATTTGTTGCCACGTGGATTTTAGGTAAAAGAGAAGAATGAAATCTTCGAGCGATATATCTGCTAAGCGTAATGTAACGACACTAGAGTAAATTACTTACACGTATATCGTCGAGATAAGGGCGACGGCGGACACGACGGCACGTTGTCTTTTTTATTGTCATTGCTCGCGCGTGTTATTATCATTATTGCGGTCGCACTGTCATTCGTAACCGCGGAGCAGTGAGATCGCGTCTTCGATTGCGCTCGAATTGTCATGTTCGGCACGAAATTGTTGTTGAAAGCGACAACGGGCTCAGAGACAGCCGCGGGCATCTTCCGGATCTCGCGAGAGTGAGTTATATATAATTATTAATAAAATAAGATAAAGAGAATACACACACATACACACGCACGCACGCACACATATACATACACACACCTAGAATACCTAGTGTCATCCTGATTTTACGAAGCTTTCCGACGCTTGTCCGAAGTGATTGCGTTGGTCGTCGGTTTCCCTTCCGCGAACGACCACGTAGACTATTCCGATAGACACGTAGAGGTACTCTAGAGATTGTAGACTTAAAGGATCCTTCTCTTCAGGGGCTCACAGAGTTTCATATACGTAGCGTATCGCGAGATAGAGGGACACGAATGGCTTTAAACAGTAGCGATAATCTCTCATAGTTATATTCCTTTGGCGTTAGGTGACGCATCCTAGATACTCTAGACGAACTCGCCGAGGTCGGAGGATGCCCCAGCGGTCCAACCACGGTGCGATACACCGTGACGAAGCGGCGCTTGTAAGTTAATCGCGAATTGAGTTACTGCGTATCTCGCGATCGACACCACCGACTAATACTGTACCACCGATATTGTTATTATTATGATGATTATGATTGTTATGACGATCACACACCATTTGCTGCTGTCACCGTCGCCGATTAAGTCCTTACCAGACAGACACACAGACGATGAGGATAATATAATGGAAGGACGAGAGCTGTGGAACGTGAAGGAAAAAAAAAGAGCCCGCACGAGTTTCAACCTACCTATAATCGCTGTGAGATAAACGAAACTCTTTTCGAAGCTCGAGGTGTTATCGATGTTGTGCAATATTAAAAGTTTAACAGCACCGTGTTTAGAGCCGGTGGAGGGGGCCATCGCGCCGGACCAGTGTTTCTCAAATCATTATCGAGAGAGAAAGGGTGGACGTGTACACGGAGAAAGGAAGTCACTGGGATTAACGTGATAATGGCACAGCCTTGACGCCGCGAATTTCACTTCATTTTCATTTTATTAACAGGAGAGTAATTCTTTTAGTTTCACGAAGAAAAGAAATTATTTTGTATTAGCAAGCAAATAGCTATTAAGTTACAAATTATTATTAGCAAACATTAATAGCGATATCACATATGTTTTGTGTTTAATTAATATAGAGACAGTATTTCTATTTGAACTATTTGTGAAATTTAGCAAAAGAGTTTCTCTGCGATGCTCATTCGGATTAAAATCAGTTACGCTTTATAAAAATTGACTGTAGACAAAAACGACTAAAGACGAGGAACAAACAAATATATAATCTCACATCCATCTATTACTTGCAGATATTGTTAGAATACTTTGCTGCTGTCAGCAGCAAATTTCACGTGTCATAGATAATTTGCTAGCGGATGCAAAAGACAGCGATGAATTTTAACTGTGGCATTTAGAATTCTATCTAGACCAATGAAACATTTTTTTGAATATTTGATTTGTAAGAATGAACATCTCTGTTCTCTTCAACTAAATTTATTAGTGTCATTGTCATGTTAATGCAATGTTTTTTCTCCGTGTAGGGCCGAGGGTTGAGCAATGATCCATTGCGATTACCCTCACGCGTGTTTCAAGCGTCCTACCCCGCGATCGCGATAAGAAGAATACCTTAAGAAAGAATACATTAACTTATGTGTCGGGTGAACCGATGAAGTTTTGTCAATTAGAACGCACGTGGGGGATACCGAGAGGCGCGGATCTTCTCTTCGAACATATACATACATACATATACGCAAACATACACTCCGACCGATGTATATAAGGGAAACTGCAAGTGATGGAGAAAAAAGAGAGAGAAAGAGAGAGATAGACCCGAGGTCAATCGGATCGCGTCCCCGTGCGTATGATAGCAATAAAACGCTAATTATCCCACGTTGAGAGAGCAGGGGCGGATGAGGGTGGCGGCCTGAAGCTAATCGAACCCCTCAGCGTGGATGTGTCGACACGAAATTGCAGGTGCAAAACAGAAGAGACGACGTTTCACGTTTTGCACAGCTCGCGAGAATAAACGGATATCAGCAACAAAAGTATGAACAATTGAATCTCGTGATTTTCACGAACTGAAATGTATTGTGCTTTGTGAGATTTCGCGTAATAGCCCGTTCACACAACACCGAATCGGTCTTTTTACCGAATCGGTTTTCTTGCCATCTTCTGTAGTAGACGTATATATTTTAATGTGCGTGTTCACACGATGCTGCCGTCGATCGTACACGGTAAAATAACCGATTCGGTGATTTTTGACATTCGGTTTTGCCAACGAAAACCGTATGTCGCGATTCGGTAATAAAACCGAATCGGTCGCTAGTGGCGCATATATCGTAGTGCAAACGTTCAGACGGTTCAGTTGTTTAACCGAATCGCCGTATCGGTAGACGGTGTTCACAGCACAAGTTAACAATACTAAATGAACGTGAAGAAGGAAACATGAGAGAGAGGAGAGTGGACGTACGGCAAAAAAAAAACCGAATCGTGTGAACACTGCATTAGTTAACACCGATTCGGCAAAATTACCGATACGGTAAACAAACCGTAACGTGTGAACGGGCTGTAAATCTTCTTCGGTGGAATTTCGACCGCGAGGATCAGTCGCGAGGAGATTTGAAGCGGAATGTCGCGATTAAACGGTGCATCTCGTACAGCATGAAAGATTTGAAAGTTAAATACCTCTAAGTGACATTAGTCTTGGGGTCGCTCGATAGCCGGAGGCCTGAGAGGCTTAAGTAATATAAAGTCTCTATGTATAAATTCGCCCCTGATCGAAAATTCTCGTTGGTGGTCGGATGAAGGAGGTCGATTTGAGAAACATTGCGCGCTGGGAAGAGAAAGAGAGAGGGAGAAGAGAAGAGATATACGAGAGTACATATATATATATATATATATATATATATATATATATATATATATATGTATGGTATTACTACCTATGCAGGAGGAAGTCTATATTGCCGTGTGATATTAATAATTTACACGTCGCGTCGGTTCGCGATTACGTTCGATTGTTTACGGACCGATTCGCGCGATCTGACAAAAAGAGAGAGAGAGAGAGAGAGAGAGAGAGAGAGAAAGAGAGAGGGAGATAGAGAAAGAAAAAGTATGGGACAAGCGGCGAAATTGGCACGATCGCGAAAGAATGAACTTAACTATAAATACTAAATCGGTATCTTATTCTATAAATGTTGGCTATTGTTAAATGTTGAATATTGTTCCGCGGAGATAGAGCTCGCACATCCCGCCTGAGAGCAGGTTTCCTTTTTCATCCTTTCTTTCGTGTCCTAAGCCGTCCTCGATTCTTTTCGCGGCTTTGCGTAATATCGACAAAATCGACGTTCAAACCGCTCTTCCAAGAAAATCGAGTGGACGAAGCTGCCTCACTAAGGATGAATAGTTTCTGCAATGAGCGCGAGTTAGTGTGAATTTTACTTGTGAGAATCTTTCTGGGAACTATTAAAAAACTCTTTGTTTTCTTGTTTTGCAATGGCGTAACGCAACACTCGGGATATTGAGGTAGAAAGAGAGACAGCTGAACATTCTTTGTGGGAAACGCGCCTCTCACGCGGGCGCAGCGAGCTCTTCGCGTTCTAATTGTAATCTAACTATTTGGGGATCGAGCGGATGCCGGATCTATCGATCCCCGCGAGTCACTGAGCATCCTTGGTCACGGAGAAAGAAGCTTCTGGTATTACCTGTCTCCTTAATATCCCTCCAGGAACTCTCCATCGTTCTCTGACGTTCCTTTCCTCTTTCCTTACTCACTTCCCTCCGTCTTTCCTTCCTTCTGTGCCGCCACTCAACGTCCCCATTCCTCGCGTAAACTCGTGTAGGCTTCGCGATGGATTTCGTGTTTTCCGAGGCGCGCCGGGCCCACTTATATTTTGTAAGCGCCAGAAAATCCGGGACGCGCGGGAGACACGAAATGCGCGCCGCGCGACATCGTTGAACTGTGAAGGAAAGGCGCCCTCTCTCGACCGATGTTCCACCCTGAACGCGCGCACTTTCTACCCTCCGCCATGTGCAGCACAATCGCCCCGAGCCGTTTTCCGTTGATCCCCGTTTTGCGACGAATTGCGAAGGGGGCGACCAATGGATGCAACGCAGTGATACTTTCAGACAATACATTACGATTAATTACACTTGTATTGGTAAATTAATCTACTACGATTATTGAATTCCGATTAAAGAGGAATATACGGTATATAAATGTAAAAACAAACACATATATATATATACGTATATTCGATTTTGGTCAATGCTAAATAATTATTATAATTAATTGAGAAATAAAGTGTGCTCTATGTCACGATGGTGGATTTGACTGAGCTATTATATTCCCTTGAATCTCCTGTTCTCTACAATTATTTAAGCATGCATATCATCGCCCGATCTTCACTTGTGTTATCTTCCATTGCAATAAGGTAAAAAATAATCACACAAGATACGTTACACCTGCTCGCACTACGAAAGAGACAAAGGGACCTTTATTCTCTCAACTCTCTTTTATAAAAGAGAGTTCACAGAATAAGAATCAAAGCAGAGAGAAGCCTGAGAAGGACCACCGGCCTGATTCAGCAGCCAGAGCAAGGCGTTAGAGATCCTATAATAAGAGTCTGGCCATCAGAAGAATTCTGGCAAAATTTTTCGAGAGAGAAATATATATATTTCCTATCTTTTTCTGCAACCTATCCTCTTCTGACGTATTCACGCATGCGCTTCAAACAGTCTACGTCGAGCATTATGGGCACAGAACGTACGTCGCGAAAACTGAACACTAACAAATAATTCTTGTCTTTACGAGGTAAGCAATAATGTATGATAAAGTGTATTATGAGAAAATAATACGTATATTATAAATTACAAGTAATGCAATTTAATGTAAATACGGGTAAGGTTATCTTGATTCAAATATGAGCGGGAGTAGCCAGAAATTGCCGGACCAATCAAAAACTGCGTTCTGATAGCCAGACTCTTATTAGAGGGTCTCTAAAGCTCGTCTAATAGCGAATTCGGTTGCTTGCACTAGTGTGCACTGAGTGCGCACTAAGGCTTGTTCATAGTATGTTATTATATTTAAAGATTGTCTTAAATAATTCTCAAATAAATTCTCAAATATTTTTAACCATAATATGATATGTATAACATCCGTACGAATCATTTTATTAGTTAAAATGTTTTTAAATATGTATTTAAGACACGATCTTAAATATAAGAATGTACTGTAAACAAGCCTTAATGCGCACTCAGTGCGCACTAGTGCAAGCTACCGAATTCGCTATTAGACTACGGATTAAGATCGAGATTGAATTGAAAATTGGCCAATCAGAGCAAAGTTCACCAAATTTGAGCTTAGCGAATTTTGCTCTGATTAGCTAAATTTCAATTCAATCTCAATCCTAATCTGTAGTCTGATACGGGCTTAAGAGCCTTTGCACGTAAACAAATTTTAATCGTAACCGTAATGTCGTAAGAAAACTGACCAATTAGAGTTGATTATTCTCCTTGCGTTCGAGAAATAATCGACTGTGATTTATCAGTTTTCTTACGACGTTATGATTACGGTTAAAATTTTGCTACGTGCAAAGATCCTAACCGAAGTGCAACTCAGCTACATTTAGATACCTTTTTATGCAGCGAATTTTTCGCTGCAAATGATTTGTAGCGAGTAGCGAATAATTCGCCGCAAATAGCTTATGAGCATCATATGTTGCATATTAACAACATGAAGGAAAATTCAATTATTCATTTGATACTTGGTATAACCAAATATTATTAAGTTATGTGCAAATAACGAGTTATGAAAATATCCGAAAAAGGAAAGCAGCTGTAATTATGGCTATACTTTTACATAACCCTTATAGAAATATCATACTAAGAATCATTGATAATTACTTATTATCCAGTATTTTTAATACTGAAAATAAGTAATTATCAATGATTCTTAGTGTGATATTTCTATAAGAGAAGAAAAGAAGATATTCGAGAAAGAAACATTAAGTAGCACCTATTTTTCAAGATATAAAAGAGCATGGATCTTTTCATGCTGTACTACCTAAACTTCTTCTAGAAGACTTAAGATTTCATAATTATATACGTATGTTTGCAAGTCAATTTGAAAATTTAATATTCATAGCAGATTAATTACGTAATTGGAGCATATTTAATATTATATATTTAAGCATTGGGCGAATTTCTTAATTCATCGATGGATCCATCGATGAATTAAGAAACTCGCCCATAATTACATTAGAGAACCTATAGATGTTGAGATGTCAACAGTGATTATCTTAGCGAATATTTGCTAAAAGCTAAAAAATTTCAGTGAACAGCGATTACTCGCTAGCGAACAGCGAATGACCACGAGACCTTCAATCGCAGCGATTTATTCGCTACATGAATTTGCACCTTTAAGGAGCAGTGTCGGCCACCCAATCGTCGACTTGTACTACTTGACGCGGCCGCCGTCGGGCGCCGCCAATCGCGCGAGTCGAGCCGGTGCTATGGCAACCGGATTGGGTTTGCGCGCGTCACAACACACAGCCGTTGACAGTCGTCGCAGTCGCTTCTCGGCTGTGCAGCGCGCAGGATCGTACGGTCGCAGTGAGCTCGATGTGATATCGCCGTCAAAGTGTGTCAACGCGTTGCACTCGTTCACTCTCTCTCTCTTACTCTTTACGGTGCCGCGCAAATCAGTGAAGTTCAAAATCGCACGGCCCGCGGTTCCAGGCAGCACCGGGACCCGCGGAATCACGCAGTCGTCTTCGTGTGCGTGGAGAGGAAATTTCATCGTGCGCGATTGGGTCGCTGTCGCGACCCATACATCGCAGAGGTTAGTGTGCGCGAAATCGAGATTCAAATCGAACTTGTGCGTACCGACTGTCGCAAAATCGTCGCGATCGGATTTGCTTCCCTATCTATTTATCTATCTATCTGGCTCCCTTGTCTCTTTCTCTTTCTCCCACTTCCTCTCTTCAACTCGCCAATTAATATAATTATCTCGATTAATCGCGGGGAATGTGTGACAGCGCGGTCTCGTGCAAGGTAACCTGCATAGTAAGAGCAGTGGCGTGGCACGAATCGGTCGCTTCGAGATTAAAATTATAATTACCTCACGTGACCTCGATGCACGCGAGCGTATCGAGTCGCGTTAAACGGAATATCAGCTAATATACGAGGCGCGCGCGCTTCGGCAGAGTCGCAAAGCGATTTCTGCAGTAGTGATCGAGAATGTGAGCGATGATTAACGATCAATGGCTCCCGGGCGACGATGATGATTCATCTGGGAATAACGTCACCGACAAATTATCAGCGAAATGATAATAGATGAACGTAAAATTATGCAATATCCATCACCCGCGCGCGCGGACGCGAGGTATGAAATCGACGTTGAACAACAGGAAGAAAGGGAGAGAGAGAGGGGAGAAATAAAAGAGAAAGAGAGTCGCGCCAGGTAGAAATTATATATTGTGCAGCGAATTGTTCGGTTACCGTTGGACAGGATATTATATAGTTGAAAATTGCTGTTGGCAATTTGCCGCTTAATTTCGTTCATTAGTTTAACTGGAGTTTGAAAGAAAGTCGCCTCCGGCGAATTGTCAACATAGAAAACGAAACAATTTGTTATTAAATTGAATTATGACATTAAAACGAGAGAAAGAGAGAGAGAGAGAGAGAGAGAGAGAGAGAGAGAAAGAGAGAGAGAGAGAGAATAGAACGAGTAAGAAAATTTGTTCTTTTCTTACAACTTATATTTAAAGTCGCTACTCCAGTCAAGTGTTGAACACTACTTTATTAAGAATAGAATTATTAATTATTAATTATTAATTGTTCGTTCACTCTGTTGGACGCCAAATTACATAGTTGAGGGTCACCCGGTTTCTGTCGGTTAATCTCGCCAATTAGTTTAACCGGAATTCTGAGAAAAATCCTCAACGAACTGCGATTGTCCATGTATCTAATCGATAATCGATAAAGTTACGAAACCCTAAAATGATGAAATCGTTTAACGTCGTAACATCGGAATCGTATCGACTATATTCAACGTTCGATATAGTATTCGATTTTTTATTAATTTTATTTTTATTTTATTTTTATTTCATTTTTATTTCGTTTTTTGGGAGAAGCACATCGATTACACAATCGACGTCGGCACGATTGAATAATTTATATTTAGAGGCCAGAAAAGCAGAGCGGACTTCGCCCGGGCGAAATCGATGATCGTTACAGCA